AATAGGTCACCCCCTGATTGTTATTAAAGGCTCTGGGGTGGCGGCTGGGGAAAGGCAATGGGTTTACCCCCATTGTTATTTAGGGCCCCCACCTGCTGGTCAGGGGTGGGGGCCGGCAGGAGGACAATAGTTCCACCCCCACATTTTCATATAGGGCCCCCACCCGCCGCTCAGGGGTGGGGGCTGGGCGGGGGGACAATAGGTCCCTCCCCCTTATTGCTATTTAGGGCCCCCACCAGCCCCTCAGGGGTGGGAACTAGGGGGGAGGACAATAGGTCCCCCCCACATTTTCATTTAGGATCTCCACCCGCTGCTCAGAAGTCCCCTTATTGTTATTTAGGGCCCCCACCTTCCACTCAGTGGTGGGGGCCATAAGGGGCAATAGGTCTCCCCTTCTGTTTTATAGCCCACACTCGCGCGGCACGGGTGGCGGCTTGGGAGTGGGAATACTAGGGTTTTTGGGTTTTTTAAACTGTGAGCAGCCACTGGCTGCTCACTGTTTAGTAGCCATGCCACTACTCGCGGCATAGCGAGTGGGGGCAGAATTTACTAATACTAAGTCATCTTTACTTAGTATTAGTACATTTGGCTGAAAAGACCAATTTAGATCTTTCAGCCTTTTGGTAGATAGCTCCCTAATACCGTGGGAATTAGGGAGCTATCTTCTAAGCAGCTGCAAGATGCAGCTGCGGCACGAATAGGATCAGAGTTTCATTCATTTGAATGAAATTCCGATCTGAACAAAGTCCTGAAACTCGAATGGAGAAATTGTTCTCATTCTGTTAGGACGAAATTCGGTAGTTTCGCCCGCGTTCGGTGTAAGTGACAGGACATTCAGAAAAAGTGAAAGAAGGCTTCGCCGGTACAAAAGGTAAGAATTGTGAGAAAATTGCTTTAACCACCGGAAATCAAGCACACTTTGTTCCTCGGCTAGTCAAAGCTGGTCAAGCATAGGAAACCTCCAGAAGATAAAGTAGTCCCTACTTTGCCTTATGATTTAAAGATAACTAGAGCAAACAGGAAGAAATGAAGAACAGATCCTGACAGAGGAAGAGAAAAGGAATCGAATAAAGAAAGGTAAGTTTGGCATAACGGGCCGATTTAAGAGAAAAACACATATATTTATGTATTGCAGTAGAAAAAGCAATGATTTCACAATATCATTTATTGTTCTATCAGTTACGCAACTTAACTTCACGTCTTCTAGGGTTTTAAAAACATAGCTGTGCTCAGAATGGCATAAACGAAAATCATCAAGTAGTCACAATGGTAATGTTTTCAGTGGTTTATTTAGAATCATGTAAAATGCATGGAAAAATCTATTTGTCTTTTTTTCAGCTCTCTACTGTTCTCTGCATAATTGGAGCAAAAAAAAAAACACAAAAATGACAGGGAGTGAGGATAAGTCACAAAGGGGAAAGTATCTAAAGATCGGGCAAAAACCAACACAGGAACATAATTGAAAAGGGAAAAAAATAAAGGGGGTTATATACTAAAAAACGATTTACTGAAGGCTGATGAGGGCATAGCAAATTTCAGGTGATAGTAGACAATCTAGAAATTGGCTTAATTACACATGGGATTGTATAATCATGCACTATTGATTGACACTTTGGCATCAAGGGATCCCATGTCATTTTTTTTTTCTTAAAGGGACACTATTGGCATTATAACTATTTTATCTCATTGAATTGGTTATAGTGCCTGGAGTTTTCTGGTGCTGTCCCTTCATTTAGTGTGAAACCATTTTCAAGCAGTTTTGCATTAATAAGGATCCCTAGCCGGCCTTTACTTGAGAAATGGCTAAACTAGAAATTCCACATTTCCTTCTTGCCATACCAATTTATTTGTGCAATGGGAACTGTGCTAGGTCAAAAGTGGTCATAGGACACCTCAGTGGATCACAGATGCCCACTGCAGCACAGATGTGACAGGTTGCTAGAGACTCTTGTTTAGCAGTAAAATATTAAAAAGAGCATAACACGGAATGGAAGGGGACTCCAAACACTATAACCACTTTAATTAGATGACAAACGCACAGTGCCTACAGTGTCTCTTTAAGTATGTACGTATTAGGGTTCATGCTGGATTCTAATGGACATCATACTCGTTTTATGTTAAAATAAATTTTTCTATGGAGCAGTTTTGTTCTGGTTAGAGTATTTTATGTTTCTGGCAACGCTGCCTAGTTATGCTTTTTAGTATGGAATAAAAATGTGACGCCTTAGGAAATTATTGGTATCACAAACTAGTAAATTATCTCCAATGTTTTCAAAGGACACATCAAATGTACATTCCCTAAAATCCTGCAATAAAATAAAAAATTCATCCAAAAATGTGGAACCATGGTGTCCATAGTGATGGGTTAACAAATTACATTTTGATCATACACTGTGTTTGGGCATTGATCAATCCTTTGACCTTTGAATAAAACATCAGTAGATTTACACCATGAAATTATATCTGGATCTTTTCCTTGGTAGCACCAGTGGTTAGTTTGCAGGCTAGCACAGAAGAAGTGAAGAGGAGAAGAAAACAATTAAAACTGGAATAACTCAAAAACATAGTATCTGGTCTGTGAGAGCGCAGCATTAAAGGACCACTATAGTGCCAGTAAAACAAACTAGTTTTCCTGGCATTATAGTACCCTGAGGGTGCCCCCACCCTCATGGCCCCCCTCCCGCTGGGCTGAAGAGGGAGGAAGGGGTAAAACACTTACCTTTGTCTCCTCCTTCGGTCGTCATCGGCTGAATGCACATGAGCGGCAAGAGCCGTGCGCGCACTCAGCCAGTCCATAGGAAAGTATTCTAAATGCTTTCCTATGGACGCTGGCGTATTCTCACTGTGAAAATCACAGTGAGAAGTGCGGAAGTGCCTCTAGCGGCTGTCAATGAGACAGCCACTAGATGCTGGTTTAACCCATATGTAAACATAGCAGTTTCTCTGAAACTGCTATGTTTACAGCAAAAAGTGTTAAACCTAGCTGGACCTGGCACCTAGACCACTTCATTAAGCTGAAGTGGTCTGGGTGCGTATAATGGTCCTTTAACCTGTGAAAATCAAAGGAAGTATTATTTTCTTAAAGTTGTGACAGGTTATTTAGTTATTTTTTATTGCCAATTTATTTTGAGCAATTAAACAAAAGTAAAGATCTTCTTTCGAGACATTGACAGGTAAGTATTAAATCATTTTAGGTTTTCAATTCTAGTGCTCCCTTCCCTAATGCTTAATAGAGAGGTAGGTCATCTTTTGCTGATGCATATGTCTAGTCAAGCTACCTCTTTTATGTGTTTATTTATATCTGCTTTCAACTGTGGCACTTCAGGGTTATATTGACCGACTGGAAAAATACTGACCCCAAAATGATATTTGCATTTATGTCTTAATATCCATGTTAACTATATAAATAGCTATTTTAATTTACGTTTAATTAAATAGTAATTTTTAATAACGTTGCGCTTAAGTTTTGGAAACGTGTGGTCAGCAAGAAAACGTATTTACAAAAAAATCTCACAAATACAAATGGATAAAATGTTAGACAAATATAATATGATATTGTGTCCACTGGGACATGCATTGAGAAAGAAACGGACTGTGTTCTGAGTTTGCAATGACTGTAAGACAGTTTCTCTCTAACTATTGATTGCTATCTATAGTTGATTTGGTCTGGATTTCAATAGTGACCTGGAGGTGAAAGGGTCTCAATCCATTGTCAGCCAAATGGACCATCTGTTCCAAGAACTGCTATAATGATTCATAAAACATAGAGGAAAACCACATACTGTATTTGGAAAAAATCTCTAACAACTTAATCATTAGCATGTACAAATCTGATCTATATGGTGAAGTGGCACAAAAATATGACTCCAAACCATTGTGTACGTAAATATATTAAAAGGCAAAACAATAATTAACCAATATTTACTTTATATTTATATTAAAGAGGAATCTTTACAGAAATCTAAAAGTTAAAGCATTTCTTTAAAAAGTATATGTATAACATTACATCTTTATAAATATTACTATGGCCTTTTGTTAGTTATCAAAACGATAAGTAGTACCAGACATACACAAAACAAATATACTGCCTGTAAAATAGAAGCATAAAATAAATAAAAACTTCAGAGGTAAGGGGAGACTTGATTAAAGAAAAGACACCAGGCTTGGAGAGTCCGATCCATTAAACAAAAATCAAAATAACAAAAACATGCCACTGCAAACGATCACTAAAATCAAATTGAAGTTTATTCAGCACAATATTAAACAAGGGGGACAAAAAGTAAAAAAAGAAAGACATCCTTAAGTGTTTCGGACCTCTGGGCCCTTAGACATTCCTATTGAATACATTTCAATTTGATCTTAATGAGCCTTTAGTTAGTTCCCAATCTCCTGTGCTAACAGATAAAGGAATTGTTAAGGTTGTTTAAAGCAACCTTATGGTGACAAAAAGTTACTATTATGTAACAATGTATGAGGTGTTAGCACAATAGTTTCAGCACTGAAGTAATTTACTTGTAAAAGTATGTAACAGTGCAGATATTACAGGGTTACTCCAAGAACCCAAACCACTTCTGTGATTTGAAGTTGTCATGGGGCCTACAGTCTGTATGTGCAGTGTTTCTCTTTAAAAGGTGCACAAACAGAGTTCAAACTCCACCTTAGCCACCTTAGCCATCGCTATTGGGGTGTCATTAGCCAGCCTGGTTAAAGAGTTTCGAGCTGGCTAATATCAATTCTGTGCAATTTCTTGTGCACAGTGTCCCATTCATTGGCCAACAGTGGTCTGATCTCAGGCAATACTTGGTGACCAGTTCATCTTTTGGCATTTGTAGCTCTGCCCATGTCCAGAAGCATATCGGCAGAGTAGCTAGGAGCTTTAGAGCCAGGTAAGAGGAGCTGGGAACTCTGGTTAGAGGGCAGACCGTTGCTAAAAGATTTGCTTCATCACTATGGAACCTGTGTGTGCTGATGATGGATGCATTTTATGCACAGAATTGACATTTTTTGTATTCACCCAATACAGTTACTTGATACCTTCATCTTACTAACTCATTGCCAGTTTGCCCTCTAATATGACTTTGTATGTTTTCTTATTAACCACAAAATCTCTACAAGGTTAGAGTAACCCTTGCTGACATGGTCCCAACCCCCCCTACATGTCCCCTAAAAAAGATGGTGATTTAAGTAACCCTTTAAGACTTGTAAATGCCAACTAACAAATTTAGACAAGACTTGAAAACTTTCAGCAGCTACTGACTGCTAATCTTTAAGTGTTAACATTTGTATCATGTATACTGATGGTAATTGCTAATAATTACTGACTTGTCACTAAATGATTGCAACAGGCAACAACCACTTCTTGTTTTGTAAGTGGACATTACAAAGCTTTGATTTGTTTTGCACAATATTTCTTTCAACTGGCTTTTTCTACAATTAACAGGCACAGAAGTTCAAATCGCAAAGAAAACTGTAAAGTGTAGAATATATCTATAATGTGCTGCTTTACACCTGCATCAAACTGTGAAACAGGTAGTCTTGGCTGATGAAATATGACCTTTAAGATTTCGTCACTTTCTGCCCCATGCAAACACAATCTTTTTATTCTAGCTGTAACTAAACAAATAGCAGAAAGTATGAAAAAAATGAAAATGTGACGAACTGAAGTCATAGAGTTGACCAAAAACAGAAAGGAGCAAGGTGTGTACAATGTCCACGTTGCTAACGAAATAGAATGTTTGCTACATTAACATCATTTTTAATAATATTTCTGGATTTCTGATTTTTAGTCTTCCCATGTATTTGTTTTTTTCATGGTCTGTAGACATGCATGTCAATCTACCTAATGAGACCGATGACATGGTAATATTTACATTAGAAATACCGTGGTACGCACTGTTAGAAATGTCTGTGCAAAATAAATTGCTTATGTGGTATTTTTGTGTTTTACCAAATTAAGCTTAAAGTCTGGCTCCAGCTAGAAAAGTGCTTAACACACTTCTTAATTTACACCCTATGTTCCCCGAAACACAGAATCCTTGTCAACCCCTATTATTTAGCTAGATTTACCTGTATGGCTCCTGTGGCAGTGAACCACGTAACCATAACTGTGAGTATAGCATAATCCTTTAAATTAACTCTTTTTAAACTATATGTAAAAGTTTATCGAATTGTAAACATATTAGCAAACCTTATTTTTCATGTTTTCATTTTTATTCAAGGTGTTCGATGAAGTACACACA